GTGATCCACCATGTGGGTGCTGGGAACCAATCTCCCTGCAAGAGCCTCGAGAACTCTTAACCGCTGAACCATCTCTCCACCCTCTGCATCTTATTTTTTTGAGAGATGATATATCACTGACCTTGCAGCTCAGCTAGACAGACTGGCCAGTTATCCCCAGAGATGTTTCTGTCTCATCTTTCCCTGTCCCAGGACTACAGGTACCTGCTACCACACCTGGCTTACATGGATGTGGGGGATCTAACTCAGGTTGTGGTGCTTGTGTAGCAAAAGCTCTTTCTCCTCCATTGAGCCATTCCCCCAGAACCTTCACATTCTTTTCACAGTGGCCCGGTGGATCTTCGAGGGCATCCTGTGTTTTTTTTTCTTAGTTTTTTTTTTTTTGAGTTTTATAGCTGAAGTAGAGATATCTAACTACTGACAGAAGAATACACATTGTTCCCTGACCTTAAAATTGTCATTTGTGGTAGAAAGGGCTTACGGAAGCACTTAGTAATCCCCTTTCCTACTGAAAATATAAACTAAAGGGGGGTTTTGTTTGTTTGTTTTTTCAGACAGTGTCTCACTGTGTAGCCCTGAATGGCTTGGAACTTCCTTTATAGAAAACAGACTGGCCTTGAACTCAGAGAGATCTGCCTACCTCTGCTTCCCAAGTGCTGGAATTAAAGTCATGTGCCGCCACCTGAATTTAAGGGAGCTTTTCTAGAGAGGACCATGTGGGTTGGTGGATTGAGTGAGGAAGATCTTTCTCTCTGTAGACTGGCATCCAAGCAGCTGGGAGCCTGGGTAGAATTCCATCTTTTATGGAGCCCTTGCTCTTGGACCATAGAACTCCAGTCATTTAATCGCATCAGATTCTTGAGTCCTCATGATTCAGATTGAAAGTTATATATGAGATTCTTTGGACTAAGTTCCCTGAGGCTCCAACTTGATGTGGGACCTTTCAGCCCCCATAATCACATAACTCATTGTTATAACGAATTCCTATCGTCCTTCGTATCTATATCTATATAACACCCCATCTCACTTTGCCTAGTACACTGGCAATAAAAAAGGATACCACAGAAATTGCAGGTCTTCTCATGAACTTTCTCACCTTGAGCTTACAGCATCATTTAGTGGGCTAGACCTGAGATAACCAGGGGTGTTAGGAGAGGAAGGGCGAACCTTACCTCTGAGGTGTTACCATTTCAGAAAAAGTGAAATTTCTTTTACAGTCAGAATTCGTGGTCCTGGGAAACATAAATTAGTTGTTAATTGTTAATGCAAAACGTTTGCTTCATTGTCTTTGATTTTTTTGCCACATTTTTTGTCTCCGTGTCTCTGGATTGACGGAAATAGTTTCCGACATGAACACAAGGGCTCCACTGAACTGGAAGTTGAAATTGTCACCTGATGGGTTACTTTTCATGCACTTGGCTTAATAGACCAGAAAGGAGTTTTCTTTTTGGCAAGGATAATTGATTCTGATTATCAAACGGAACTAGAGAGAGAGCTACAAAATGGAGTGAGATATGTATGGAAAGAGCTGGGTTGTGATATATGGGTTAAGAGCACTTGTTTTGCAGTGGTCCTGAGACCCAGACAGTGGCTCACAAAAACCTATAATTCCAATTCTAAGGGATTCTACACCCTCCTTTGACCTCCTCAGGTACCAGGCACACACATGGTGCACATACATAAATGCAGACAAAACATTAATACACATTTAAAATGAATCTGAAAAAAATGTTTAAAAGGGAATATATCTGAAACACAGGTGATCTTCTGGGGCATTCTCTAAGAATGGCTTATCTAGCAATATCATGTAATGGAGGATGACAGCAACCCTATAAAGGTAAGACCCCTTCAGAAATGGAGTTTGGGGTCTTCTAATGGATAAAAGACCCTGTGACGCAGGCTGAGACAGGAAGTAGATATGAATAGAGCTGAAGTGATATTTGATAGTTTGTGTCCACTTACAAAGATGAGAGGTCATGAGGTTAGCGTTTGCTCCTTACATTATGCATATAAATTATTGATATGCAGTTGTGTGTTTTGAGTTGTGCCATTTCATGTTTCTTGTAATTTCATTCTGTTTCATACAGGGTGATTTAGTTACTGATGGAGATTTTTTTCTTTCTTTCTTTTTTTTTGGTTTTTCAAGACAGGGTTTCTCTGTAGCTTTGGTGCCTGTCCTGGAACTAGCTCTTGTAGACCAGGCTGGCCTCGAACTCACAGAGATCCTCCTGCCTCTGCCTCCTGAATGCTGGGATTAAAGGTGTGTGCTACCACTGCCCGGAAAATGTTGTTTTCAAATAACATTTTATTCAATTTTTCTAGATGAATTAACTGAGAGGTTCTGTTTTGCAAAGTACACGAGCTACAGTTAGATTACTCACTTTCTATAAAGACTGGAGGAAGCCAGACATGGAGCTGATGCGTATAGCCCTAGCACTAGAGAAGCTAAAGAAGGAGGATCCCCAGGTTTGAGGTTAGCTACATAGTTCCAGATAACATGGATTACAGAGTTAGATCCTGTCTCAAAAGAGCAAGAAAGCAAACAAACAAATTGACCAGTCACTTCTATTATTTATCAAAGAACACAGCTGGAATAGACACCTGTGAGTGGGTTTCAAACAAGAGGTCTTGAAAATGTGGTATATCTGGAATTGGTCGTCAGGCTGGAGAAGACTCATTCTGACAAGAGCAATTTAAGGGAGGAAGGGTTTATTTTGGTTCACAATTTGAGAGTACATCCGTCATGGTGGGAAAGTTCTGGTGGCAAGAGCTTCAGACCAGTCACACACACCCAGACTCCCGAGCAAAGAGAAATTAATACATGTCTGTTTGCTTGTTTTCAGTTCAGTTTCTCTACTCTTAGCCAGTTCTGGAGCTCCTGCCTAGGAAATAGTGCCACCCACAGTGGGCAGGGTCTTCCCGCCTCAACTAACAAGACAATCTCTCACAAGCAAGCAAGCAAGCAAGCAAGCAAGCAAGCAAGCAAGCAAGCATACAGGTGTTAATTTCTCTCTGTTCTTGACCATGGATGTGATGTGACTTGTTGCCTTGAATTTCCTGCTGTGGGAGACTGTAAATAGCCGAGGGTTGTGAGCTAAAATAAACCCCCTCTCCCTAAATTGCTTTTGCTTGGTAGTTTATCACAGTAACAGAAATGAAACTAGAGCAAACAGAAACTTACTGAATGCTTCATTTTGCCTTCACTGATTTATTGTGTTTTTCCTTTATGCTTTTATTTCTAAATTTTCCGACTCTTTGTCATATTTTATGTGTTTTTATTTGCCCATCTATTTTTCCAAACACATATATATGGTAGAATTTTTCCACATTTGCCATATGTAATTATCATTTTTTTTTGAGCTGTTAATGAATTTCTTGGGAGGGTTTTGCCATCTGGCGTCAACTGGCAAGTTATAATCAGCTTCCCTCTAGCCACACAAACACCTGGAGGAGCCGGGCGATGGTGGTGCATGCCTTTAATCCCAGCACTCGGGAGGCAGAGGCAGGCGGATCTCTGTGAGTTCGAGACCAGCCTGGTCTACAGAGCTAGTTCCAGGACAGGCTCCAAAGCCACAGAGAAACCCTGTCTCGAAAAACAAACAAACAAACAAAAAACCCAAACACCTGGAGGAACACTTACTTCACTTTCTGACTATATGATGCCCCCAGCGGCTAGCTGGGAGAGGAAGTCAAAAGTTCTCCAGTAGGCAGACTCCATAGGAACTCCAAGGGAAGCCAAATTTATCCCCGTATTCTATTTATCATCTTTTGACCAGACAATTCAGTCTGGACTTCATTCCATTTGACAGTGTTCACTGAGCATCTCCTTAAAGGTCAGAGACTGTTCCAGACACTGGGCATACTTGTGGCTTTTTCTTTGGAGACCTGAACAAATGTTTATCTGTGATGGTTTAAATTAGAAATGTTTAGTTCAGTGTTTCAGTCAATTGAATACTTGTGATGCCTTTAGATGAAGGAGGTGCAGCTTTGCTGCTAGAAGCCTGTCATGCAGGGTAGGAGAGGCATGGGCAAGGCCTTTATCTGCTAAGCTATTTTGCCCTCCCTCATTTTTTTTTTTTGGGGATAGGGCCTCTCTAATCACCCTGGTAGTTTTGAAACTCCCTCTGTAGGCCAGGTTGGCCTTGAAGTCACAGAGACCCCACTGTCTCGGCCCCCCCAGTGCTGGGATTAAAGGCGTTAAGGCACACGCCTTTGATCCCACCTCCTCCTCCTTTCCCCCTTGCTGTGCACTCACACAATAAGGACGGTTTAGGGGAACTGGTTCTCTCCTCCTACCTTTATATGCGTTCTGGGAATCGAAGTCAGGGGTTTAGACTCCTGTTGTAGATGCCTTGCTGGCGGAACCACCTAGCCAGACCTGCAGGGGCCTCTTAACCTCATTTTCTAGGTGCTCCTTTTCACACCACCGCAGGTGGTAAAGTCAGATCCCACTTCCTATGTTTTTGACTCCAGCGTCCATTTTTTAAAAAAACTATTCATTCGTTCCCTTATGCTTCACCACTGCTAGATTCAAATGCCAGCTGTAGACTGTCACTTAAGGCACTAACTCTTTAAACATCTGTAATTTGCGAATGTGATTTATCCATTTATGGGTTTATCCTAGGGTTTGAGGGCGAGAGACAAAAAAAAAAAAAATCAGGAATGAATTGAGCTGGAAGTGCCCTAGCGCCCCCAGAAAAGCCCGGTCTAGGTTTATTGTGAGCATACAGTGCTATAAGCAAGGTCCGGTGACGAAGCAGGTCACAGCCCTCCTCTCCTGCAGCCTTCCCGCGCGCCCCGCGGGGCGTCCCTAGCAACGCGCGCGCTCACTCGCAGCCCCGCCCCGCCCGGGGCGGTGGCGTCAAGTGCGCCTGCGCGCGGTCGCAACCGCCAGTCAACTCGCTTCCCCCTCCTCTCCCCACCCCCTCCCCTTTCCTCCTCCTCCTCCTCCTCCTCCACCTCCTCCTCCTCCCGCACAGCGCCTGGAGCGCGACGCCAACATGGAGCCGGAGGACCTACCGTGGCCCGGCGAGCTGGAGGAGGAGGAGGAGGTGGAGAACGCGTTCCCGGCGGCGACCGAGGAGACCGTGGAGGCCCGGACCTCTGAAGAGACTGTGAAAGTGGAAGAGGTAGACTTTGAAGAGGCGGGGCCCGAGGTGGATTTGGATTTTAACTGCGAGTCCCAAACGCGGGAAAGCACGGACGAAGAGGAGGACGAGATGGCTAAGGCCTGGCTGCAGGCGCACCCTGCCCAACCTGGCAGGGCTTTCCCTCCGCCCCCGCCCCCGCGGTACCTGTACGCTCCGGTGGAGCATCTGAGCGAGACTGAGGTGGGTAGCGGCGCTTGTAGGAAGGAGCCGGGCCGTGGGGGAGGAGCGGGGCGGTGGGGAGGAGCGGGGCTGAGGCCCAAGCGTCAGTCGAGGTGCTTGAACTACTGAAATTGGTCCATGATCTGGGAACCGGTTCGCCATGCCTACGGACCGGAGACCCCTGCTTGTGGGGCTGGCACACTCTTCGCAGTCTTGGGTTCTTCCTGGCAGTGACATCTGCGGTGTCTCTCCGGCCTCTTAGTGAGTCCGGGTTCTTTTGAACTTGGGCAGATAGGACAGCTGCGCAGGGAGCCGGCACTCCCTGAGCGTGCAATTAGAAAGGCCTCTTGGGCAGAAGGTGGGAGCTGAAGAGGGAACTTGGGAATTGCTAGCTAGCGGAGAGACATTTGGCACCTTAGTTTTATTGAAGTGTAAGAACCCCCGCTCCCGAGGAATTAGTGTGGATTATGTACTCTGCGTGAGTTGTCTCGATAAGTCCCCCGCCTATTGTGTGTCTCCGGAACCTCATTTGTAGCAATTAATGGGTACTTAGCCAATGGCAGGAACTTGGAATGGAAGCAGCTGTGATCAGTCAGCTCTGGTTTGAAATATTAGAAAGCACTAAGTCAAGACCAAATGGAGGAAGAGCCGAGTTTACAGAGGTCCTGCCAAGATCATTTCGAAACTAACCATGTTCTTAATATTAATGTTTTTTAACTGTCAAGAACTGCATTCCTGTTCATCACCACCACGTGTGGTCCTTTACATATTAATTAGTTAGTAATAATAGAATTAGAAGGGCTGGTGGTGTATTTAAGTGCTAGAGGTCTTGCAGGTGGTGGAGGTGTGTGCAAGGCTCTCAGTTCAAGCCCTAGTACTTGGGGTGGGGGTGGGGTATTAAAATTAGGAATTCAGGGGCCCCGTTTGATCACTTTTCAAGTGCTTGATAGCCGAGCTTAGGTTACAGAACAATTCCATCATCACAGTGATGCATGGACTGTGATTGCTAGGTATGGCAGGAGTGTTCAATCCCCTCAGCTGAGACTTTGAGCATTCACCTTGGGCCACACATTGTACTTGACGCTAAGGAAATTTTGGTGAACCAAACCCCTGCCTTCCTAGCATTCCCACTCTAAAGAGGGAGGCAGATACAACCCACATGTTCTCCTAAGTGAAAATGGCATATGCTGAAATGCTGTGGATGCATAAAGCAGATAACCTGGACTTGTCAGTGAAGGCTGGGCAGGCACCTTGAAGACTGGGAGGCTGACTAAACAAGGGTTTAAAAAGAAGCCTAGGGGGCTGGAGAGATGGCTCAGTGGTTAAGAGCATTGCCTGCTCTTCCAAAGGTCCTGAGTTCAATTCCCAGCAACCACATGGTGGCTCACAACCATCTGTAAAGAGGTCTGGTGCCCTCTTCTGGCCTGCAGACATGCACACAGACAGAATATTGTATACATAATAAATAAATAAATATTAAAAAAAAAAGAAGCCTAGAAGCCGGGTGTTGGTGGTGCATGCCTTTAATCCCAGTACTCGGGAGGCAGAGGCAGGAGGATCTCTGAGTTCGAGGCCAGCCTGGTCTACAAGAGCTAGTGCCAGGACAGGCTCCAAAGCTACAGAGAAACCCTGTCTCGAAAAACTAAAAAAAAAAAAAAAAAAAAAAAAAAAAGCCTAGATGAGGAAAGGGAAGTGTGATATTTTCACAATTTACATTTGAGTTGATTTTTTTTTTTGTAGGACTAGGATTGAACCCTAGCCTTTGGGCATTCTAGGCAAACGTTCTGTCTACCAATGGGCCACATCATTTAAAGCATGGCATTTTAAGGAATTAAAGGCCAGCAGGCTGAGTCTGGATTACAAAGCTTTCTGTATTATTTCAGGGATTTCAAGGATTTATCTCTGGAGTTTCGAGACATCAGTAAACTGCTTTAAAGGATGTTTGTGATTAGATTCGTATTTCAGCAAGAGAGCAAGTAGTGTAGATAGCTGTGCTCGTAGGGGAAGATGAGAGCATTCTGAACAAATGAAGGACACTAATTAGTGGGTTGTTGCAATACTGTCAGGCAAAAAGTCTTTTGAACAAGGAAATGAGCAGGGTGTGATGGCATATGCGTTTTAGTTCCAGGATTTAGAGCTACTAGTGGTTCCTAATGCTGCGACCCTTTAATGCAGCTCCTCATGTTGTGACCCAATCATAAAAGTACTTTGTTGCTACTTCACAACTAATTTTTCAATTGTTATTGAAGAGTCTAAGAATGAGAAAATAAAAATGTAGATTCCAAAAATAAGAATGTAGAAATAAAGCCACAGAGAAACCCTGTCTCGAAAAAAAAAATAAATAAATAAAATAAAAATGTGTTCATGCCGGGCGGTGGTGGCACATGCCTTTAATCCCAGCACTCGGGAGGCAGAGGCAGGCGGATCTCTGTGAGTTCGAGACCAGCCTGGTCTACAAGAGCTAGTTCCAGGACAGGCTCCAAAACCACAGAGAAACCCTGTCTCGAAAAAACCAAAAAAAAAAAAAAATGTGTTCATTGTGTAGTACTCAATTCCTCTGTCATCTATCTCTTCCGAAGTAGTAAGATTGTTGTAATGATAAGTTTGGTGTGTGTGTGTGTGGAGGGGTGTAGTGTTTGTGTGCACATATGCATGTATGTATGGGTACATATTGATTGCTTCCCACCTTGTTTATTAGATCACCTGCCTGTGCCTCCAGAGTGTTAGGATTGAAGGTGTGTGCCACCACACCTTCCATCTTAATTTTTGAGACAAGATCTGTCTTTGAACCTGGAGCTCATTGGACTAAGTTAGGCTGATCCACCAGCAAGCTCCAGGGATTGTCTCCCTCTAACAGAGCAGGAACTCGGTTGGATTGAATGCAGGTGAAAGTCAGAAGACAATTTGTAGACTCGGTTTTCCCTTTTGTGTTGGAATTGAACGCAGGTCACCAGGCTTTACTGGTGGAGCCAGCTCTGTTTCCTCTCTCCCTTCTGCTTTTCAAACACTTGGTTGAGAAATGAGTGATCCAGAGCCTCTGCTACTTTGTTTCCTGTTATTCCTGGGGATCTTTCCGCATAGATGATTTCAGACACCTCTCCTTGAAGCTTGCATTGTGAAGGAAAATATTTTTGGGAGACTGTAATGTTCATGGGTTGTAGCGCTAGAGGAGGTTCTTGTTGTTCAACTTTTAATGGAATCATGAACCCAGCTGAAGTTTCCTGTCAGCCCTCCTCCCTTTTCCTCTTACCCTCCTGCTTCCCGCTAGTGCTCAGCATCTCTTCTGACAGCAGGTTGCCATTTTTTCAGAAGAAAGAATACATGGTCAGAGCTTTTAGCCTTGTCTGTGATATTCCATTCCATTTGCGTGAAAGGTGCTGGAATGAATATTTTCTATGCCCTGGAACAGGTTAGTTGTGTGGAAATGTTTCTCTGATGTTTGAGCCGTACCAGAAGCGAATGGTGTTTCCAGGTTCCTCTCAGCGGTGGTCTGTATATGTAGACTGGTGTTTCTTGGGTCAATTTTGATAATTTATGATTTTCCCAGAAAGTCCTTCATTTTAACAATGACTCTAGTTTTTTTTTGTATGTGCCAATTTTTATTTCTCATTCTTAGTTTTATGTATTTTTCTTTTGATATGCCACTGTAGAGGTTTATTTGCTTTTCATCTGAGGAAACTACTCTTGGAAAGCTCAGTTTTTTTTCTTGTTTTAGGCTGTTAAAAACGCTGCTGCTCTAAGCATACATGTTACTGTGTGGACATGTGAGTTCATTTCTCTTGGGTATATACATGTTACTGTGTGGACTTGTGAGTTCATTTCTCTTGGGTATATACATGTTACTGTGTGGACATGTGAGTTCATTTCTCTTGGGTATATACATGTTACTGTGTGGACATGTGAGTTCATTTCTCTTGGGTATATACATGTTACTGTGTGGACATGTGAGTTCATTTCTCTTGGGTATATACATGTTACTGTGTGGACTTGTGAGTTCATTTCTCTTGGGTATATACATGTTACTGTGTGGACATGTGAGTTCATTTCTCTTGGGTATATACATGTTACTGTGTGGACATGTGAGTTCATTTCTCTTGGGTATATACATGTTACTGTGTGGACTTGTGAGTTCATTTCTCTTGGGTATATATCTGGTGGTGGAATTGCTGGACATTTTGGCATTCCTGTATTTAACCCTTTAAGGGCCTGCCAGATTGTTTTCCAGTGTGGCTGTGCTACTTTCCTTTCTAGCACTGTCTGACCGTTTCTGTTCACATGTCTGAGTAATGATGGACATATTTTCTTGTGCTTATTGATCATTCATACATTTACTTTACAAAAATGTCTATTTAGAGCTTTGCCCATTCTTTATTTGGGCTGTTTCCAATTGGGTCTTAAATTAAAAACTCAGGGCTTTGCATGTGTCAGTCAAAATCTCATATATATTTTGTTAATCCATTTTAGTACATTTTTAGATTTATTTATTTTTACTCTATGTGTATGAATATTTGCTGCTATGTATAACTGCACCACTCATATGCCTGGTGCCCGTGAAATGAGAAGATGGTGTCAGATCCCTTGGGGCTAGAGCTATAGATGGTTGTGAGCCTCCATGTGAGTGCTGGGAGCTACATGCTGGGTCCTCTGCAAAAGCAGCCAGTGTTTTTAAACACTGGGTCATCTCTCTAGTAAGCATCAGTCTAATTAATCTTTATCAATAATTAATCTAATTAATCTTTATCAACTAAAAAAATCAAGAGTCAGATATTGGGGTGAAAACCTGAAAGATCAGAGAAGCAGGGGAGCAGCCACAGTGACTTCCCACCTTTCTGGTTCCTCCGAACAAAAGGGGCAGAGATCCTCTGAGCCCTGCCTTACCTCTTGTCTTCTCTCTACAGTTCTCCAAACCTCTGTGGTCAGCTAGTGGCTGGTCCCACCCGATGACTTCAAGCAACCTTTATCAGAACAAAATCAAAAATATCACACATATATTTATTTAGAAGCAAGGCCTCTCTATGTAG